CCCCCCCCCCCCCCCCACCACCACCACCAAGAAATCTTCCTTCCAAGACTACACTAACCTCACTCTACTCATAGATATTTTTAAAAAATTGCACGGTTACCAGCGCAGCACTGCAGTGTCTAATCCCTTTGTGAATGGTCTGTACTGCCTTCTGGATCAATCATTGAAGCCCCACTTTACCATTCTTTCAGTAGTAATCCAGCATTGTGCCTTGTGTTGATAGTTATGGTCATACACCACAAACTGACTTGAAATGTGCAAAATACGCTCACTTTGAAATTAGCTTTTGTTGACTTGTTTGAGATGTTTCTCATAACTTTCTGCTAGATTTGACCACTCACATCCAGGATCAAAGCTAGAGCAAAAGGCCTTTGACATTTTTGGATGTGTCAAAAGTTCATGAAAAAAATGGTGCACACACTGTGAACTGCAGCTATTTTGAAACTTGACAGAGTAAAAATAACATTCAAGTGGTTTAAAAAATCGAAATAGCTGTAAAATAATTTTTAATTTAAGCACTTACCGCTGAACGAAATCGTACACTCTCCACATCACCATAAATGGAAAACAACTGTTTCAACTTCTATAAAGTAAAAACAATTAGATTTTTAATTTCCAATTATTTGTAAAACTTGTTTAATTTGCAACAGGGAATTAAATGGCAAAGTTGAACTCAATAAAATGGATGCCTAGCACTAAGTTCAAAAAGGTGATGCCGGTCAGCTGCATGTCACTTATAAACTTAAGGTTACTGACAAATGTGTGTCATAACTTCATAGACCGACCAGCAGAATTACTCCGTCACTAGAGTGCTGGGCTTCAAAAATACCATATGAAACCATTGCAGTCTCTCTTTTTGCTCGTCTTCCAATGCCCGTGCTGCTTGCAGCTCATGGCTTTGCATGTCACGTTCGCACGCTCATGAAAGCTCACTTGAGTTGCATTCTCCTTTGCATTTTTCCCCAAAGAATTTCAAGCAAAAGAGAGACTGCTGGCAATACAGAAATAAAAGAGTGAAACTAACTAGAATAAAATGAGGTGTGGAAAACAAAAGAATGTACATATCTAGGTGAACAGTTTTGCTGGGAAGTAGTCTGTTTGAGTGTCTCAAGTCAGTCTCTTATTCCTAGTCAGGAGCATCTCATAAATAAGGCACTTTAAGCTTTCATGGCATTTCTTTCAGATTACAAATTGCTCATGAAGATCTTTTTGGTCAGCTTGTGATTGTTTCTTCCTTAAGGTGTTTAACAATCATGGAGTATCTGCAGTGCTCCTCAATGATGTNGCACGCATAAACAAGTAAAAATTAGCGATAAAAAAGAACGTTTCGGTGACATTGTGACAACATTTTTTTGCATTTGACCTTGAAAATGGTGTCACGATGTCACCGAAACTTTGTTCTTTCTTATCGCTAATTTTTACTTGTTTATAATTTAGTCATTGTTCAATTTGGTGAGCCCTCTCCTCTCCTCACTTGGTTTGAGAGAAATCAAGATTGGAACATATTTGGCGGTGGGAAGTGGCAGGTGAAGATAATTGAAAGGCCATATGCAAGAGCATTCCCTAGATTTTTTTGGCCATTTTTGAAAGTGCTCAAAAGTATCTGAAGTCTGGCATGTCGGATTTGAGAAACATTGCTCTGAAGTTCACATTCAGGGATCAGTTCCCGTTTCACTACTGCTCTTCAGTCTGGTCTAACACCTGTACCCGTAATGTGCAAAAATTACAACTTGTCCAGAGCTTTGCGGCTTGGATAATAACTGGTGTAAGGAAATTTGAACACATAACTCCATCACTCAAAAACTTGGGGTGGCTCCCTGTAAAAAAAGGCAGCTTTATCTCCGCAATGCTATCTTTGAATTTAAGTGTATGACGGGCTGCACCCTGACTTACCTGACGTCAAAGTTTGTAACAAGAGGACAGATATCTGACCGCAAACCAAGAAATTCCCAACAACTTAACATTCCTTTATGTAAAACCGCTGCTGGTCAGAGGACATTTCAATACAGGATAGTAAACTTATGGAATTCCTAAGATAAAGATTTAAAACTGTGCAAAGGTTCAGTAAACTTAAAGAAAAATCTTAAAGCAAAAATGCTTGACTAGTTTTTAAAACAAGAATAGTGTTACACCTTTTAATTCATTATATTGTTTGCTTATTTTATTTTATTGTATTTTTATTGTATTTGTATTGTTCTCTGAAAAACCCATTTCTGGGAGTGTGCAATAAAGTTTTGCAAGTTTCATACATTCTTTCATTCAAGTTTTTTTCTCTGGTTTGCTCTTCATTTTTGAGAAATAACTTGTGCAAAACAACCTCAGTTTTCCTTGTGGCATCTTCTGGAGATCTTTTACTGAACAAAAAGCAAAAGAAACCTCTTGTTTCGATAAACAATGAAGTCACCAAAGCGTTGCAAATTGCCACTAGTTGTTCAAACTGATACAAGTTTTATATTCACATAATTAAACCAATATCTTATTGTTGCTTCATTAGTGCAATTGATAAAGACGCTGAAAGGGCAGGAGTCGAGGCAGGAGTTGAGTTGATTTTGTCTTGACACTGGTTTGATATGAGGTCAGTCAATTTTTTTTCGCCTCTTTCTCCTCTTCTTTAGAAAACGAAAACATTTTTCATAAAAAAACTGTGCTGTCAATGCTGCTAAAACCAACCATTTATGTTTGCATCAAAATCCACCTTCAATTAAGAAAGTTCCAGAGAAACCAAAAGATTCACCATAAACTTCATAATCTTTTTTTGAAAGTGAAGTTTAGTCACCATTGAGCTTCAATCTATGGTATTATTTAAAGTTTATTTAATTGGCCACATTAAGTGAAGATTTTTAACAATGACACACTGGATAAGAAAAAAAAGACAAAGAAAAAACCTAACTAAACATGATTTGATAAAAAATATTGAATCTACATAATATTGGTACAGTGGAACCTCGATATAATGAAGGGCCAAGGGAATACATACATTTTACTACTGCTAGGGAGAAGAATATTGTTCTTTATACCAACTGAAGGTTTGTTAAATCGAGGTTCCAATGTACATGTATATCATTTTAACAAGCACTCTCATTGGTCAAAATGGCATGCACTTAATCTTGTTCTCTGATCTCTTGTGAGCAAAGCTGAAGGTAAGATCTGTTCAAATCCAAATTGCATACTGTGATTACCTGTCAGAGATGTGGCAGGTAAGATTACATGTAGCAAGACTATGGGACAGTATTACTGCTTGAAATCCAAAGATTTCACTGAAGAAGCAAGCTTTATTTGAGTGACGATTGACTTAGTAACATTAAGGTCACATTATGCAAATTTGACAACAAGTGGCTCTATAAGAGGTAAAGGCAACCACTTCAAATTGCTTGCCACACCTGTGATAGATCCTTGACATGCTAATAGCCTTTTAGCCAATGGGGATTTTCCATTTCTGGAGAAAAAGAAGTCCATAGACCGTCTATTTTGATCTTTCCACAGCCCCACCCCCTTGCATGTATCCCACACACTGGGTTAATATTTCACTAAGTTTGTCATCTCAAAGAACTCAAGACAAAACAGAGGGTTTGTCAACAGACTAGTGTCCAAGGTTTTTAGTGCTGAGCAAGAAATGTTAACGATGAATCAATGTAGAAAATTATATAATTTGCCATATTGTGTATAAGTGGTCTGTTGCACTAACAATTGAAGGGTTTCGTGCAAAAAGGGCGTATGTGACATTTTGGGCTGACTTTTATTTTTTGCAGGATCGAGCTAATTTTTGGCAGACTGAGTTGTTTTGACATGAAAAGCATCATTGCGTAATTGTTTTTGTTGATTTGAGCTTTATTTTCGAGAAATAATGTATGCAAAAAAACTCAGTTTTCCGAGCAGCATCTTTTGGTGCGAATCCTTCCAAGGTGGATTTTGACGCGGCGCAAACTTAAATGGTTACTTTTAGCAGCTTCGACAGCACGGTTTTTTTTAAAATAGATGTTTTGATTTTTGAAAGAAGTAGAGAAATAGACCAGAAAAAAAAATTGACCAACCTTGTATCGAACCGGTGTCACAACAAAACAAACTTGCATCTGGCCAGTTCAGCACCTTATATGCTTGCGCTAACGAAGCAACAGTAAGAGAATTGTGTAATTATATGAATAATAAAACTAGTGGCAAATACCACCCTTCGGTGACTTCATCATTTAGCAAAACAAAGGTTTCTTTTGTTTTTCGCCTGACAAAAGATCTTCAAAAGATACCCTTGGAAAACTGAGTTTTTTTGCATACCTTATTTCTTGAAAGCGAAGCACAAATCAACAAAAACAATTATGCAATGATGCTTTTCATGTCAAAACAAGTCAGTCTGCCAAAAATTAGCTTGATCCTGCAAAAAATAAAAATCAGCCCAAAATGTCACATACGCCCTTTTTGCACGAAACCCTTCAATTCTAAACTGTTCATAAAATGTAATCCAGAGGCATTTGAAGTCATTGCACAGCTAGCAGTGAGGGCAATTAAATCAAATATTCAAATGTTAGCTCTTTTCCACCAACCATCACCTGATGTGTCAGAAGTATTGACATGCATTTACACACACTTACCTTGTTGGTTCTTTCCTTTTTCTTGCATGGAAACAAAATTCCTTCATATTTGCTTAAAAACAAATGTTGAAAATACTTATTCTCTTTCACATTTAAAAATCCAGATTTAAATGTAAAGCATAGAGAAATGTCACTCGTACATGTCAACTGGCATGGTATTACATACACACATACATACATTAGTGCAGAAGTGCACCACTGAGATCGCTCAGGAGACTGCTGTCTGTCTGCTAATCCAGTGAGATGTAACATTAACGTCTCTTTAATTAATTAGTATCAGTTAGTCTTGCGGAAAGGAAGAGGTAGGATTGTGGCAGTTACCTGTTTGCACTACATTACATTTGTAAATGTGCAAAGGCTAAACAAAGATACTTGCAGGATCACATGTCAACATTTATTGTGTGCTTTCTCGTATACATCATAACATATCATAGACAACACCTAGACTACATGTGTTCTAGCATCATTAGCTCGACACACTTAATATTATGATTAGTTGATTGTTAGGTATGGTATCTGTATTGTATGTCATGTAGATCTGTCTTACTGTGTAGGTATATTATTTTTTTGATCTTTCTTTCTGTTAATGCAGTTGTAAAGATTTAGTATATATGATATCCTTATTTTTCTTGTTTTCTTTTTAGGTACGGTATATATATTGTATGTCATCTAGATCTGTCTTCCAGTGTAGGTATATTATTTTTTTTATCTTTCAGTTGTAAAGATTTAGTATATACACTATAATATCCTTATTTTTCTTGTTTTCTTTTTTCAGTAGAGCATTTTTACATGAGCCGCTGGCTTGGAAGCTTGTGCAAACATTTACCACATTTTTCAACTTAAAATAAAGTTTTTACTACTGTTATTACCCCATTCTTGTCTCCAGTGTCATGTGTTATTTTTAAATTCTGTGATGTCATGGTCCCATGAACCACGAAAATATGCTCACCAAAAAGCCTTTGAAACTAGTCCAAGGCTTATTATTGCAAATTTACACCATGACTGCCTTTTTCATAAGTATTCACACAAATTGCTGTATAAATTCCAGGCATGAATTCGATCACTCTTTCATAACTGTTTGAGTTGCAAAGCAGTTCAATTCTACTTGTTTTGAAAGAAAAGATCAAGTTGTTTGTACTGGAATCAGCTTTATGTGAGACAAGCCAATGACAGCAAGATCTGCTACTACAAGACTTTGTATTATATAATAAGACAAGAGTTTGTCTTATTTAAGTTACCATTCTTGCATTTTGATTGGTCTCTACTTATAATCTAATGGAGTCCAGAAGCATAGATGACATCATTAACCTTCTTTTTGGTTTCTTTATTACATAAAACAGATAGATTCCATGTTGCCATGCATCTGTTTATGTCAGATCACAGAAGACGTCAAAATGCTGTAAGAACATCAGTAATGCACTCGGCCATCGCCTCATGCCACTTTTTTGTTCTTACCCCATTTTGGCATCATCTTGTATTACTGAACAGACACACAGCAACAAGGAATCTATTTGTTAAACTGATTATACCTTCCATTTGTTTCCTGTTTTCTTTGGGAAATTCCTTGGGACTATTTTCCTGTTGAGTTTCCTTTTCTGTCGTTTTGGACATCTAAAAGAAACATGAACATTGCAAAGCAATCGAGGTCATGATAGTTCTAATAATAAGGCAAGAATTACATGACTGTATGTTTAAGGATGGTCATACTAACTGTTTGTGTGGATCCTTACTGCAAATGCGAATCAAATGCCATGTATCAGGCACACATCCATAGTCACAAATGAACAATAAGGGACTGTCACATGCACACAGGGTTCGAAAGAGTGTCAGACAGCACTGGTGAGAGCTACCCTTACCGGTGAGTTTTTAAGGTTGGTTTTCACCACCGACGGAGTCGTAGTCGGAGTCGTAAACAGAAGCGCAGAGCGATACCATCTAGTGAAAATCAAACTGATGGAGTCGGAAGCAGAACACCACATCCACTTATGACTCTCTGACTTATGATCTAGTGAAAACTAGATTGTCTGAGTCGCAAGCAGAAGTGGAAGAATAAACGAATCACGATCTTCGTTTCTGGGCCTCGTGATTGGTTGGTTCTTCCATTTCTGCTTCCGACGCTGGCGATCTAGTTTTCACTGGACCATAACCGACGGAGTCGTAAACAGAATTGGAAGAAATGGAAACATTCTGATTCTTCTGATTCCGATTCTGTCGAGCTTATGACTCCGCTTACGACTTTGATTTTTGATTTTCACTAGCTCATAAGCTCTCTTATGACTCCAACTACGACTACGACTTCAACTCCGTCGCTAGTGAAAACCAGCCTTTAGAATGTTACTTATAGAATGTTGCTTTCATTGGCAATAATAGCATCACTTGAACATCACAATAAACTTTATGCAATCATGATCATATTTACACGTACACGTATGTGACTCAGACCAAAACTTTTCCTGAGTTTACTTTCACTTCATGCAAACTATTCAAATGGATCAAGATCACCAACAGAAAAAAAAAAATATATTCTAAAACCTGAAGGAAACATGAAAATGCTTTCTTCCTCTTAATTGGAGATTTCCAAATGAGTAATATTTGATTTCTGTTTTTTTTTTCCAGTAAAGTGTACATGTAAGAGCCTCCACAGACTTACAAGTTCAGTTGTCGACAACTATTTGTTATTGACGGTTAAATGTAAGTTATGGACAACTAAAAAGAAAAAGCAGTGTGTGGGATGAGTTCTGGACAACTCAATAGTAAATTTTTAGTTATGGACAACTGAGCAGTTTCCCTTTTCAAAATGGGAATTCAAACTGCTTTTATTAGTTTTGGACAACTATTGACAACAACTACATTTCTGACAGTTTTGCCTGTGTGTGGGAATCACTGGTTTAGTTGTTAACATCTATTGACACTGCATTTCAGCTGACAGTGGTTTGAGCATTGCGTATTGTGTTTTGAACATGCCGCTTGGAAAACTGAGCTTCTTGCATATGTTATTTCTCGAGAACGAAGAGCGCCCCAGCCAAAAAAAATTCAGAGCAATGTTTCTCAGGTACAACGAAGCCTACATGCCAAAATTCAGCTATTTTTGAACACTTTCAAAATGGCCAAAAAATCTAGGGGATGTTCTTGCATGCGGCCTTTCATTTAAAAACAAGAAGAGTTTTGAGAGAGTGATACTTGCTGATTAACACTGTGCAGTACTTAAACATCACTCCCTTCATTTGATACCCAATTAATTCAGCCAAATGATAATTGGTCGTTTTCTGTTTCCCCGTTTCTTTCATGACCTTTCTATTGATATATAGTTTGTGGTAGTTTCCTTAAAAACAACCCAGGACCAGGTACAAATTTTTTCTGCAGGCCACCCGCAACGGTATTGTGTAACTTTAAGCATTAAGGAATTAGGAGAATTCCTTCATTATGGTTTAATTTAAATTGTAAACCTTAGTAACAGAAAACAGTATGTTAAGTTCAAAGAAACAAATTCAGAAATGTTTAACATCACATGTGGAGTTCCTCAAGGTTCTGTTTTAGGTCCCCTTCTGTTTTTAATTTACATAAGTAACATTACTGCTTCATAGTAAACTATCATTCACACGTTTTGCAGATGACACAAACATATTCAGTAAAAATTCAAACCTACAGCAGTTAATTGAAGCAACTAATGAGGAATTAAGAAATAAAATTATCTTTATGGTTCAAGGCAAATAGATTACATGTATCATTAAACATAACTAAAACCAACTGCATCCTCTTCTCAAACATGAAATGTATTAAATCTAAATATGAACATTAAAATAGATGGAGATGAAATAAATAGGGTGAAAGACTTCATGCTTTTAGGAGCAATTAGTGTTGAGATTCATATACCACATAACCTTAAAAATTTTCAAAAATGTTGGGGTTATGCATAAACTAAGCTATTATTTGCTCACAAACGCTATTAAAAGCCTATATTACACTCTAGGGTATCCTTACATTGACTAAAGCAATATTGTTTGGGCTAACAATGATATTATCCATCAAATTTAATTTAATAGAATTGTACTTCTTCAGAAAAGGGCAGTAAGAATTAAAGCTAAAATTTGATGTAGTGAAAGTACAGATGAGATTTTTAAAGAATTGAAGTTCCTTAGGGTAGATCAAATAAATGAAGTAGAAATTTAAATAATTTCTCATGTTTAAGTATTTTTCAGGGCAATTACCACATAAATTAAAGCAACTATTGAAATAAAATCACATGGTACAAAGTTATGGAACACATCACAGACATAATTGTTATATTTTTCATAAATCATCAAGGTTCGAACAGACTATTCCTTATAGTTTCAGGGTCCAAAAATACATGAAACCTCATTGACAAAGAGACAAAAGATATCAAATCACTTTTTTTTTCCTTTTCAAAAATTGTGTAAAGCAGAAATATTCCATCAAAGCAGACAGTGACAGTAGTGGCAAGAAACTCTCCAGTTAATAGGCATTTTTTCATTCCATATTGCTTCTACAATATTGTGTATATGTATCTGTCATTATCGTTGTAAGGTAAGCATTTAACCTAGAGTTAAGTGATGACCGCTGCTTTTTTATAAACTCCTCCTCATTTTTGATTTTAAAGCCTGTTTGTAAGAATACTTATAATATATTGAATGTAAAAGTGATACTTGAAAGTTGAATTTTTCAACTCCATCAGTCTCTAAAACCAACATGCACTCTTACCTTCGGAGTAATTGGCACAAATTCTGGTTGGAGTAATCTTGCAGAACCAAACAATGCACCAAGCTTTTCATTTCCGTAGTTGCCTGGGTTTTTTGCAGTATTCTTTCCGAGGAGTGCTTGGGAAATTTCGCCAACCTTATATTCGGCGAATGACCGCGTGCATAAACGGGAAGCCATGTTGTTAATTTTTCATTTCGGCGTATATAACGTATTTATTCACAATGGTTATATCCTCTTAATAGGATGTTTGCGGGCGTTTAATGTTCATGTGGGTAAGGGCGAAGGGAGGACTGCCTAACGCCATTATCATTCCAAACCCTCAGGCGCTTCCTCCTCCACAGGCTTTTTACGCAGGATGCCTGAGGCAGGCCGCGTCAAAGTTTCGGTGGAGTTTCTTTTTTCTTCTTCTTCTCCTTCGTAGTCACATATGCAAATTACTCCGCCAGTGGCGGATCTAGGGGAGAGGCCCGGGGGACCAAGGCCCTCCCCTCTTATTTTGGGTGAAAAAAGAAGAAATGACTGAAGGAAGAAAAGCCGGCAGGGCAAGTAAAACAACCCCCCCCCCCCCTTTCCGCTTAGCTCAAAGTCTGGATCCGCCACTGCAAGCGGTCTCGTGGAGGAATCAGTCCATGCGAAGTTGACCGAAGAAACATATTATTTTAACCATAAATTTGCGTCAAAAGCTCTCATCGCCTCGAAATTTCCTCAAGAGCATGCTCAATAATTGCCCTAACCATCGCTTTCCTACATCGCCGACCGAGTGGAAATTTAAGGTCGCAAATCTTTCAGATATTTAGACCTTGTCCTTCTGTGAAATCGACAAGCGAAAAATAATCGAAAGCTTCGTTATGTGCATGGTGGCCGAACGCAAACTTCATATATGACTTACTTAGGCTTGATTTCCAATAGTTTGAGGGTAAATTCCAAGTCCCAGGGACTTCAAACTAACTTGCAAAGACCTTGTCCTTGGCAGTGAACTCGACAAGCGAAAAATAACAGAAAACTTGGTTTAGTGCATGGTGGGCGAAAATAGTCCCTGTAAAACTTACTCAGACACTGGAAAGAAGTAGAGACCAGGCTGCGCAAACTTTTGCACCTACTTAGGCTTGATTTCCAAGAGCTTCGACGACATTTCCGAGTCCCAGGGACTTTCAATTACCTCGAGAAGACCTTGTCCTTCAATGAAATCAACAAGCGAAAAACAATCGAAATCTTGGTTATGAGCATGCTGGTCGAAATAAACCCCTATTAAACTTACTTAGAGACTGGAAAGAAGCAGAGATCGGCCTGCGCGAACTTTGATTTTGACCTACTTAGAGTTGATTTCCAAGAGCGTGGACGATATTTCCGAGTTCCACGGCCTTCAAACTAACTCGCCAAGACTTTGTCCTTCAGTGACCTGAAGGTTTAAATAAATTTTCCGTTGAAAGGTATTTGGTACTTTTCTGAAAGTTACCAAATTTTATCTTCAGATTGACACCACTCAATCTACAAAAGTCGTCAGCGTTTTCCTCTTAGCTTTTCCTTTCTTTAACTGGCTTTGTAGGCGTATCACCCTTCCATGTAAATTCTCCGTTATTCGTCGTGCATGCATCAACAGCAAAGTGTAAGACGATCGCCTTCAGCCTATATTTCGCGCGAAAATAGTCAGTTTTAAGAGGTGATAAAAGTGGGCGGCATTCAAAAAACCCAAGTTCTCTGGCAGGCGGTATTTCTCGCGATTAGCGGCTTCGCCAAAACTTTATTTCAGCCTAGGTCAAAACTTTCCCTTAGTATTCCGCGCGCCTACAATACCGCCAGCTAGGCAGGCTAAAACTTTAACCACGCCGGGCTGGCGCGCGCTGTGAAGCGGAACAATCAGAGAAGACTGGAACTTGGTGTAAACGCCTGTCAATAAATAATGCCTCCGAGCGGTCCTGGGATTAGTCCAAAGGCGCCAAATCTCAAATGTACTGAAAGTTCACAGTTTTGCCATCATTTTGGTACCAAACATGCAATACTTTCTTCGATATTCGCTTAGAAAGAGACTGCCGAGGAAACAGTGAAAGAAAAGGTAAGGTTTTTTTGTCGTTCGTATCGTATTTTTTGCCCGGATAGTTTTTTTAAGCATTTCTGATCTACTTATCCGAGAAGTTTTGCTACGAAGAGAAACTTCGACTCTATGATTTTTGTTTTCGTAATTTGGCTTTCTTTGCTTAGTTTTTTAATGAGTTAATTTCTAGGATGCCGCGCAGAAAGAACACGCGCTTTGACGTGGATCAATTCATGAAAGCCTGGAAGGTTGCAAGAGAAAACCTGTTAGATTCTGTGAGTGAAAATCGCAAGCTATTGGCAGAGAACAATAAAGTCCAACTAGCCCAGGTTAAGGTGAGATGATATTTAATTTGACCTTTTTAAGTAATTCAGTGCTTTGTGAAAGTTTCATATTTCGAATATTCGAGAATTTTGTAAGACAGCATTATAGGCAAGTGGTGGGAGTGCTTTTACAGGGAGGCTTGTAATTCAATTTTGACAGGGTGAGAAATTTATAATGATGATGATGATGATGATGATTTTCATTATAAACAAGGTAATGGTTTGTGCATCCCTGCTGTACCTTCCTACACAAACATTTGTAAACACTCCCCCACCAGCTTTTTATGTGTCTGAACTCTAAATTAACAGCAACAACAACAACAATAATGATAATCTGTATTTTCTTTCATTTTGAAAATTACACGTTATTTGGTCCACAGATAGCAAGTGCTAATCTAGGCGGGCCATTCATCGCTTATTCTAGATTAATGAAATAACAAAAATAACTATTAATTTAAAATTAAAGATATGAATGACAGTTAAAATTAAACTAAATGACAGTAAAAATTAACCAATCAGTTTTATTTAGGAAAGCCTTGGACGATTATTACTTGTAATTTCTATTGTATTTTTAATGGTTTTTCATATGTATCATATTTTATATATCTTACTAATTCTTGTTTATTAGTTTTTAATTCTTAGCAGGATCCCGTTGATAACAGTACTTTGGAAAAGATTCCTGCTGTTTTTGTTATAACTTTGTAAGTGGCTAGGTTGTGAAAGTGACTCCAGGAAAGAATGTCAAACAGTTCTTGCTTTAGCTTATTTAGGTGTGAGGCTGAGGGACTGTGTTTCTCTTTTTAATAGATTTGAGATAACATTAGGCCAGATTGATCAACCTTCTATTGCTTGCCATGAGTAACTTAAAGTAAATTCATTGTTGTTGCCAAGTTCTGCAAATCCTACTGTCTGGATATTGGGTCACATTGTCCCCTCTCATTGTCATCAAGTGCTTGAAAAGTATGGCCAGGGGTGGGGATGGTAACAATGGAAGGGTGAGAAGCAAAGCATATCTTTCTGAAAAAATTAAGTGAAAATTCAACATATCAAAACAGATGGGTTGAAATATTTAGGCATGAATATGTGATGCTGATTTGGCTGCCTCAGCATGGTTTTCAGTAGACAGAAGCTGCAAGCAAACATGTAGCCTACATCCCAGAAAGGGTATTCAGTGATCCATCTTATTGCTATTGTGGTCTGCTAAAGGCATCTCCTGAGGATGCTAAGTGCTTTTTTTGTGGACACCCAATCATGAAACTTATTGAGGAAAGTGTAAAGGATGGAAAGATCGCTCCACAGCTTTTGTAATTAATGTTAAATCTGAATGTGAAGGTGAATTAATCAACATGACACGAGCGTGGGACAGAGAAAAATTCTGAGTCCCCGACAGGAATCGAACCCATGACCTCCCGAACACCG